CTCCGCACCCGCCGCCGGCCCCGCACGAATCTCCCGCCGCGCCGCCGCTTCCGCTTCCGGTTCCGCGCGGCCCCCGGGGCAGCTCCGGTTCCGGCGCGCCGCGCGCACGTGGGGCGGAGCGGGAGCGGGAGCGGCGCCGCGGCCGGCGGAGCGCGATGGGCGAGTTCCAGGTGCACCGGGTGCGGTTCTTCGGGCTGGTGCCCGCGGGCGTGCGCTGCCTCGCCTGCCAGCCCCGCGGCGCCCGCCTGGCCCTGGCCCGCACCGACGGCGCCGTCGAGGTGTACAACTTGGCCGCCAACTACTTCCAGGAGAAGGTGAGGGCGCCGGCACGGGCCGTACCGGGATGTACCGGGCCTGTACTGAGCCGCACCGGGCTTTATCGAGCTTGTACCGGGCACGTACCGAGCCCCTACGGGGCTTGCTTGGTCCTTCCGATCGGCACCGAGCCTGTACTGGGCCTGTACCGAGCCGGGGCGGGCCGTGTCCAGCCGGGACCAGGCTTTACTTGGCCGTGCGGATCCGTACCGGGGCTGTGTCGGGCCGCACCGGGGCGGTACCGGGCGCTATCCGGCGCTGCCGGTCCGTACCGGTGGTACCGGTGCCGCGGTGTGACCCCGTCCCCGCGCAGGTGATCCCCGGGCACGAGGCGCGGTCGGTGGAGTCGCTGTGCTGGGCGGCCGGGGACCGGCTCTTCGGGGCCGGGCTCGGCGGGGACATCACCGAGTTCGACCTGTCCGGGCTGAGCGCGGCCCGCGGCGTCGATGGCGGCGGGGGACCCATCTGGAGCATGGTGGCCAACGGCACCGGCACCCAGCTGGCGGTGAGTCCCGCCGGGAGCGGCTCCGGGGCCGGCGGCGGGGCGGGGAGAGGGTCCCGCCGTGCCCCCGCTGATCCCGGCCCCCGCAGATCGGCTGCGAGGACGGCTCCGTCAAGATCTTCCAAGTGGTTCCTGGGGGGATCCAGTTTGAGCGGAACCTGGACAGGCGGAAAGGTGGGTCCTGGCTGCAGCTCCATCCCTCCATCCCTCGGGGTGTCCCAGTTACCGGGGCGCTGCGAGCCCACGGGCTCTGACACGGAGCCTCCCTCCTCCCCAGGCCGTGTCCTGTGCCTGTCCTGGCACCCCTCGGACACTCACATCGTGGCCGGCTCCATCGACTTCTTCCGTGTCATCGACGTCACTTCAGGTACCTCCTGTCCCGGGAGCAGCCTTATCCCATCCCCCGGGACCACCAGCACCCACTGGCCCCCAGGAGAACCCCCGGCCACCCCCAACCTTGTCCCACTGCAGGCCAGACGGTGCAGAGGATCATGGTGAACCACCACGTGGAGAAGGCCAAGCGCGAGTGCGTGGTGTGGGCCGTCGCCCTCCTCTCCAGCGGCACCGTGGTCAGCGCCGACTCCTTTGGCAGGGTGCAGTTCTGGGACTGGGAGCAGGGCGCGCTGGCAGAGTCCCACGCCGTCAGCACCTCGGCCGTGCTCTCGCTGGCCGTGTCAGAGGTGGGTGACACCCCCAGGTCCCCCCGGCTGACAGGGAGCGGGGCTGCTGCGCTCAGTGCCTCCTGTTGTTCCCAGTCTGCTCCCACAGCCTTGTCCGGTTTTCCTCTGCAGAAGGAGGACAGCATAATCGTGGGCACCTCCACCGGGGCCACCTACCAGCTGCAGCTGCTGCCAGTGAGGCTGGGCGGGCTGGAGAAGCGCTGGGTGCGGACAAAGCCCTTCCAGTTCCACAGCCACGACGTGCGGGCCGTGGCACACAGCCCCACCGCCCTCATCTCCGGGGGTAGGGCTGCCGCTGGCACCGGGACTGGGCTGGATCTCCCCTCCCAGTACCGGCTTGGCTGATCTGTGCTTGGCTTCCAGGCCTGGATGCCCAGCTGGTGATCCGCCCGCTGATGGAGAAGATGCAGAAGAAGAGCTACGACGCAGTGCTCCGAAAATTCACCTTCCCCCACGTGAGTGGTGCATGCACTGAGGTCTTGGAGCTGGGGGAGCTGGCAGGGCGGGATATCCCTGCCCTTCCAGATGCCTTCATTGCCCTGCCAGGGTTCCTCCCCTGTCCTTGGCTCCCTCCTCTGCCCTGTTGTGTCTGCTTTCCTGGTACATCTGGAGGCTCTGCCAAGGAGCAGTGCAAGTTGTCAGGCTGGTCTTGCTGGTCCTGCTGGGTCTCCATCTCCAGGCTCCCATCCCACGGACCTGATTTCCCTGCTCTCCCCCGCTGCGGAGTCACCAGCACCCCAGGGCATTCCGGCTGTGCCCCAGCCCGTTGTGCCAGGCTGTGGGTCCGTGACATCCTGCCTGTTTTTCCACGCAGCGACGCCTCGTCTCCTGCGCCAGGAAAGCCCGGCTGCTCCTCTTCCAGTTCTCCCAGTACCTGG